ATGTCATGTATCTTATAGATTATACATTAGAAGTAGAATTTATTATCTTCTCTGAGAGGCTCGCAACCTTCATTGACACTAACAAGATTTACATGTCCCAGTGGACAAAGGAATGGACTTCAGAGTCCTTAATTCAATTTATCAGAATGAGTGGCTGACTCAGAGTTGAGAAGGAACACGACCTTTTGACACTAGTTGTTTGCTTCTAGGGCCAATGTGGAAAAACTTGTGATCCCCAGGGAGAAGAATATTCTTTGAGTGTCTACTGAGTGGTCTCTCTAGCCATTTTGGCCCCAGAAGAACACAGCAGTTTCTTTTGCTGAAATGTTTCTTTTCACACTCTTAGTGACTGATGAATTTTGCTGAATCAGGGCCTTGGGAAGTATTTCATCTTCGAAGATAAGGCAGTGCAAAAAAAAGCACATCACAGGGTGATTTGTTTCCTTCTCTACACGCTGCCTATTGACAGTTCTCAAGGGAAGAGATGAGATTTTTTTTCCTCTGTTATGTTTAAAGGGGACACACTTGGATTTCCCTATCCTTCCACATGCTTCTTAGGTTACAGGGTGAAAACAGAAGGTGTAGTTAAAGAGAAAAGAGAAACAGAACTGACGGAAACACAGGCAAGGGAAATCAATTCATGTACATATATCTTGTCACTGAAGTGGTCCACATCACAGTTCAGTGGTCATGAAACTGTCCTCATGGACATCACACTTCTGAATTTCAGAAAAGTTACAGGTAATCAAGATCTAATTTATTCATTGAAATGGCTGGAGTAATGATTAGTAATCAATCAGTAGAAAAAATGCGACCTTGCAGAAGCCCTCTCAGCAATATTTAAGTCTGATGCCCAGTGCTTCATGCCGTTTATGTAACAGATGGATTGAAAGTCAGTGCAAGCTCCATGCATGAAAAAAATGATCCCACACAGCTCATTCAGCTAGATTTACAGCTCTAAAGAAAACAAAGCTACTTTCTTGATACAAAAGATTGTTAAGTTTTGGATGCCAATTTCAAATTAAGGTGAATCGTTCAAATATTCGTGGACTACCAGAGCTACAGGTAAACTACTATAATAATGGTACCAAGTAAAAACAATTTAAAGGCAATGCTGTAAAGTCTAGGAGTTTCTGAGAACTCCTTCAGGAGGTTAATGTTGTCTATAGAAGAGTCTGAAAAGTAAGCAAAAATCATAAATATTCTACTCAAGAAATCTTGTTTTTTCCAACACCTGGAAGACCCTATACACAAAATGGATGCCACAGGAACGTAGGAATGAGAATTAAACAAAATTAGAAATGCAGTTCCTGAAACAAGGAGCTCAAAGACAGTTACAAAAGAGTGTGGTGTTCAACACAGTGATATCTTCTCATTTGATCCCATTGGAAAACATACGCATTCCTAGAGATCATCTGAAAAACAGGGCAGGGGTCATATAACTAGTCTGATATAACTACTACCTCAGTGTTTGAGTATATGCCAAATACACTGTGCTTGAATTCTTGTCATGGGCAAAGAGAGGACTGTATCTTACACCCGAAGCCAGGATTTTATTGTTAAATCTCATTTAACTACGTAACCAAGATACAGAAAACAGTTAAAGCTACTAGCCTGAATGAAGTTTAAAAATTTGTTTTGAAATTACATCTAATGAGCAACGCTACATTTAAAGGCTGTGACGACATCCCTCTCCTCGATCTAATGCTTTTTCTTTGGTGCTGCATTTACTGCTCCACTGCTCCACTTGCTACATTCACCTCTCCATCTACTAAAGCTTTCTTTTTTCTTTTTTTCCCAGGGATAATAAGCGTGACAGAAAGCCATCATCCTGAAATACTTGTTTGAAGATTATGATTTTCATGCAGGGGATTTCTCCTCTTTGCTAGGAAAAATGCGGTATTGATGTTAAGTGTTTCCTCCTCACTCTAGGGACAACTTGGTTGCATTTTTATATGTTTGTTAATGTGTACTTACCCTGACTTTTCTTCTGTAGTTTTCAACTCTTATATTACATCTAAATTTACTATATGTGGCAGGATTTATATATGAGACACTTGGCTTTTTTTGTTATCCCTACAAGTGCTGTTGCACAGTTCCTAGGATTGCAGTATCTTCTCTAATGACTAATTGAGAGTCCTGGGGCCTTTATCACACTATACCTTCATAATGCTCAGTCATTAATCTAGAGATTCAGGGGTCATTCTACATAGCATAATTAATTGCTACACCAATTTACACAAGAACTTTTAGCTATAGGCATTACATCAATATGAAGATAAGAAAAATGAAAACAAATGAGGGAATAGACACCTGATCACTGGACAATAGCTGTTAGAGGTAAACAAGCTGAAACAAAGCTACAAGCTGGCTGAGACCAGTCTACATAAAACCTGACAAGCACTCAGGACTGTATTAACTTAATACAAAGCCTGTGGCTTGTTATCAGCAACAACGATACTGTATTTACCTGGGGCTACACAGGACACTCTAAGGTGGAGTAGAAATTTCAAGGGATCCAGTCCATTTTTTTTTTTTAACAGTTTAATGATCAATTTTGCATCTCTGAAATACACAGCATTTAGACTGAAATTTAGGGTGAGAGCTGAAGACAAGTTTAGAGTTTAGACATGAACAGTTTTGAGAAATCTAAATTCTCAGTGAATTATTGTGAACTCTGAGAAAAATGGAAAGGACAAATAGATTAGAATACTACTTTATCTTCTGTCATTCGCATCTCAAGGACCAGACCTGATTTCTAGCTAGAATAGGTTTAAGCTAGGAATGGGGTTAGAACCTGGGAAAGTATAGGCTGAGAAGCCCAGTTTTCTGCTGCATCTTATAGGTCATTTGGAGTAGGGAAAGGAATTAGTGTTATCTTAATGAAAAGTGTCTTCTTTACTCTTTGTTGGTTCCTGTCTCATGTCCACATTTACATTTTGGAATGAGGTAGGACTGAGACCAGAATTACAATTAGGGCTTTGGAAAGCACAGGATCACAAACCCAAGTTCTGCCTATGGCAAAAACACAAAAAACATATGTTAAATGAATGTTTTCCCTCTTCCTTCTCCCTCCAAAATACAGCTAGTTTATTGCAGTCATCCTTCTATCTTATGTTTTGATCTTGCTGGGGAATTCAGAGTTTGGGTCACTGTGTGCTGACAGCCAGGGTAGGCTTCAGCACTAAGAGTGCCTGTCAGGGCAGATCTGGCGTTGCTATTCATGTGTTGGTGCCTGAAAGTGCTCGGAGTCTCTGAAGTGAATTCACAGATAGTGGACTCGGGCACTCAGTGCATGAGACAGCCTGTTAGCAACCCAGGTCTCTGCCGGGATGACCCAGCTCCAGAAAGCACAAGTGCATCGGGCTGCACCCTCACTGTGCTGTCACATGCAGACAAGCTGTTCTCCTTTTCTTTAGTGGTTCTGTTCACAGATCTCTCCATAAATTAAAAATAATGACCAAAATTGCCAACAGGACACTGAGCTCCTTCTCCCTGCGTTTTCCCTGCCTGCCTGAGCCAAGAAAGGATTGAATCGGAAGAAAGCGGAGGTGGTGCCGGCCAAACAGAATCTCAAGGGCTGTCGGCCCGCGCCCTAGCGGTGTTATGGCGTCCCCTGGCGGTCGTGCCTGGCGCCGCTCACGTCTGCGGGCGGAGCGAGACGCGGCGGAGCGGGCCGCCATGCCGGGGCGGTCCTGGAGCAGCGCCAGGATGGAGTTGCATTGTGGCCGCCCTCTCTCAGCGTTGTGACCCTAGGCACGGTTGTGACCCGTGCGGAGCTCTAGCGGATGAGTTCACAGTTCGAGCACCTTGGGCTCCTCTGGTATAATCACTATAATCACTAATACATATTTTTAACTCCGAGTTGCTCTTTGTTAACTTGATTTTCTAAGTCGCCCTTGAGCAGATGCAGGGATCCCCTAGCCTGCCTGCTGTGGTGAGCGCATTCCCCAGTGTGAGTTGTCAGTTGTCACCGCCTCCTTGGCAAAGTGCGAACCAATGTGCCGCAGCGGTTGTCGACGGCATAAATAACACCCTTAAAAGTGAGAATGAAGTGATTATTTGGGGTTTAGCCACCTGTTCTAATTGAGCTGGCACCAAAGTGGGATGCGCAGTCCCAGCCAGCAGCTCTCCCCGGCTGAGCCATGTCTGAGATCATTGGCTTTACTGGGAGAACTTTGGGGCTGGGGATGGCTGGGCTCGAAATAAACCTCTTCCTGAGGTAAAGAGAAGCACATCAGTGAGTTTGCATCCACAGTCATTTCTCTTGGAGGATCACAAAGTACTGTGCTTATGTATCACTGGTTTGCCAGAAACTCAGGTTAAGGATTGAAAAATGAACAAGTCATGCCAATCACCATGTGTCAAGTGTTTCGTTTCTCCCATTGATCAGCCTGTCTTCTTACTGCGTGATATAGGATACTCAATCTGTTCAGCTTTGTATTCATCAGCTTTCAGCCTCAGTGCAAGGTCCATCTGATTCTAAAATGTTTGCTGGATATGTTTGAGAGATGTGTTTGCTTATGGGTTTGTTTCTTAAAGTTCTTGACCTTTATTATTCCACTAGGACCTTCAGAAATTAATGCTGATGCCACCACAGTTCAAATTGCTCATTTAAAATGAGATTTATTGCTGGAAATGAAACCAGAAACCTTACCATTGGAAATACAGTATTTTCAGCACAAACAAGGAATTAATCAAGTGAACCATTACAGATCAGGCTGAAATAGAAATCCAGAAAATACAAATTATATCTTAGTCATGTGCTGGTTTAGGACAACTCTCTGCACAGCTCTGGCTAAGGGTTCATGCACATGATTTTCAAAATCAAGCATAGAAAGACTGCCCTGTAGCTTAGCGAGTGTCTGTCAAGGTGCTACTCCATGAACTGAAGCTTCAAAGTGCTACTCCATGAACCAAAGCCTAATAATGACTCTTGAAATGTCTTCAATTGAAGGCTTTTTTTTTTTTTTTTTTTAAACATTATTTATCATATTTCAAAAGTGAGTATTGCTCCAAGACAAAATTCCAAAAATGTGTTTAATATATTTAGAAAGAATGCTGGTTTTGTTTACCATATTTTTTTTTCTAGTTAAAGGCACGATTAATTAGGGGGAGCTGAGTGGGAGCAGTTCTTCATCAGCAATTAATTTGCATAGATAATAGATCTCTGCATCAAAGGGTCACAAATGTGCTTTGCCCTGGGGACAAGGGCATCTCATTTGCTCTGCCCTGGTGGGAATGATTGCAGATGTCAGTGGAAAGGTGCTCAGCTGAAGAACTATTAATTACTGTTTTGTTTTTTTTAAGTTGAGTATTTAATTGTTAAAAAACGTTTCAGATTGCCTTTATGGTATATGCAGAAACTGACAGTTACTGTAATATTTATTTCTTTCTCAGAGATTCCAGAAACTTACCTGCTATCTATCACCATCTTACTTTCCTGTCCCCCAACAACTGAATAGCAGCATTTCACATATGTGCAGTTTTTAGATGTGTGTCTCAGCAATTCCATCAAAACACTATTAAACATCCAGATTTGCACTGCTCTTTGTCGTATGACAGTTAAGTCTGGGAGTTTGGTTCTGCTAAGTTAATGGAATGTCATTTATGTCATTTTTTGTTGTTAATGTAACATGAAAACATGAGTAGTGAATGGAAATTATCTGCTGATAGTATTTTAATGTTATGACTTTTTTTTTTTAAAGCTTTAAATGTGCCAGTTACCTAATAGCTGTTTGGTATTATCCTTTTAAGCTCTCTCACTGAAAAACACAGGACACCGAAGTAGGAAATTCCTGACAGCTACTGATTACCTACAAAACATATTGATTGAGATAGGAATGTCCCTTTGATTCATGTATCCCTCACTAGCATCTCTGTGAAGCAAAGCATGTTTTTCAATCTTATGATGCACAGAAAGTCAATGTAGTTTTGCAATGCTCTGGCTGTACCCAGGGCTTCAATTCACAACTAACAAAAGCCTCATTCCTACTGAGTTTTATTTCAGTCAGCAAGCAGGATGAAGAGAAGAAAATATACAGACGTGGAACTGGGCTACAAGTCAGGGAATGAATGGCTAGAAAAGCCCACAGTCTTTCAGATTTTCTTTGATTATTATATCTGTGACTGCATCAAAAACAAACCTGACATTCTGGGTGTCTGTGGCACAGGTTAGGTGACAATATATCTCCTTATCTTCTTTCCTTATGTTCAAGTCTAGGAATTGTTTCTTGATATAATTCCCAGCATCTTCAAATGTATTTAGTCCTAGTAGAAATACAGAAGACACATACTATATCTATACTGCCCATCCAAATTTAAATTGCAATTCCTCATTTCTTAAGTGAAATGCTCACAAGTGAGTAAGACACTGTTAAGGACTTTAGAAAGAAAGCAGAAAGTGAGACAAACGGGGAGAAAGGAGGGACCATAAATTATAGGAGAATTAGATACATAATTTGCTGCTGTTTGGCAATACTCCATTAGAGCAACTGCAGGTTTAAACACTGGTACTGGGACTCAGTGTAAGTCTAGAGAAGGATGAGACATCTAGAAGCAGGCTGTAGTATGAGGGCCCTGCTGGCTCCCATGTGTTTATGAAGGTAAAGTGACATTGCTCCATTTACTCCAGCACAGTGTTTGATTCTCCCAGTGAAGCAGTGTGCAATTTTGGGTCACTGTACTGATAGATTATCGAAAAAAGAAGTGAAGCAGCTCTTTGTCTGGAAGTCCACACAATCTCTCTTCCATTAATATAATTTATTGAAGTATGCTTTATTTCAGACAATTCCTATCTGGAATATAGGAGTTTAATACTAAAATACTGGTAGCATTTGTTTTTATTCTGGCACTTTCTGGCATAGCTTCATGTATTCTCTTACATTAGTTTGGAACAGCTGTCATTCTCTTTTTCTAGTAGATACCATTGTGACATACAAAAAGAGGCAGAATTCCTTTACAGAAATGGTTTTCCAAGTGGGGACAAAAGACCTGGTTGAAATATGTGAGTGATAACCCATTGGCTTCTACTGAAATAAGAATTGTTTTTATTATATAAGTCTTCAGCCATTTGAAACTTCTAGTTGTCTCAGATTCCTCTACTTGCAGTGGAGTGAAATAAGTGTCTCCAGAGACAGCTGACCCCAACCTAAGTACCCTGAGTAGGTGAGATGAATTCCAATGTCTTTCCCTTTCTTGTCTTTTGAGAAAAAAGGCTAGATGTTCAGGCAAGATGCCTAGTCTTTAAATGGCTATCTGTAGGTGAATTTGAATGTATTTTCTTCTGAAAACCCCAAACTTACCATTGTATTCAGGAAAGCAGATGTTCAGATGAACTTTTGCTATTTTCTCTTGAAAGAGGTCTTTTTTGTTTAGAAACAGCACGATGGAAGTGGTTGCAAAGCAGCTGTGGTTGCAGATGCTGTTGAACAGCTGAAGGCTTTCATGCATTCTGTTCTGTTGTGATGCAAAAGGTAAACACCAAATCTTAACCCATATGCAATTTTTACTGTAATCTTCACTGACAAGAACCTGTACAGCATAATAGCCTTTAAATTGTTATAAGGGAACAGGAACAATTCTGATGAGCCATCAGAGAATGCATTAGAACTAAGCAGCAAAAAGGATTGTTTCTTCTGACTCACCACTTCTTTATCTTCCACCAGAACCATGTCATAGGCACTGAGTGCAGCACAGAATATGATGCAGGTCACTCCCTCAAAGCAATGAATCCACTTTTTTCTCTCTGAACGCTGTCCACCCACATCAAACATCCTGTGCAGAAAAAAAACATGTACAATGTGAGGCACTAACTTATAAGCATGTAGTCACACTGCTTATTTGCTGAGTGCAACTAGAGAAGGATGACAATCAAACATCCATTTTGACAAAATAGATATTTGTTGGTCTATTTCCATCTCAGCAGGAGAATTATGTATTATTTATGGCTTTATATGTAAAGGCTTAAATATCTGCACAAGGCAGACAGATCACAGAATCACAGAATCACAGAATTGTAGGGGTTGGAAGGGACCTCCAGAGATCATCGAGTCCAACCCCCCTGCCAAAGCAGGTTCCCTACAGCAGGTCGCACAAGTAGGCATCCAGGCAGGTCTTGAACATCTCCAGAGAAGGAGACTCCACCACCTCCCTGGGCAGCCTGTTCCAGTGCTCCGTCACCTCACTGTTATATTCCTCTCTGTTGAGGAAGTTGGACTCTTCACAAGAGCTGAGGGCAGGACTTAGCTCTGCAGGCAAGGATTTTTCAGGACAGAATTCATACATGAAACATTCACAAAAGACTCTTAGAACGATGATCATGTGTTTATAGAATTGCTTGTGTTGAACTGACACGCTCATCAGTAAGGCATATGATTGGAAACCAGACACTGTTTGATCCACCAGTTATGCTTCATTGGCTGGTGTGATTTTATATTTAGTCATCTATTCATTGTCCTTGTGTGATCATTTAGGTACTGTATAACCAGCAGTCTGTGTTTATGTGTAGAGGTCTCTGCCTTATCCATCTCATTTAGTTACTGTTTAAGCAGTAAATCATGGGGAACATAAATTTGTTCATTCACAGAGAGCAAAATGCAGAGTTGTCCTTCCCTGCATTATTTTACTCCAGCTTTTGTCAGAAATTACTGTCTTTGGGTAGAATCATGTAAACCTTTTATGGACTTTTTGTATGGGTTCCAAAACTAACTGAGCAAGTTAACTCAAGCTTCAATATAATAAAGTTTAGTGCCTAATATAGATGGACCTTCTGTCAAAATTTGTATTGTTTTTCTTAGCATTAGATTTCAAAATTACTACTTATATTTACAGTTTTACAATGATAAGGAATTGGTCTTTCTCTTCACTATTTTTCTCTGTGCAAAATGAGCATTTTTCAAGTGCATTGGCAAGGAAAAACAAGACAAGTCTGATTCCTTGTGTGCATGATGATTTTTCCCTGTTCAGTATGTTGCTGAACTTGAACTGTTAAACCTAATCCCCTTTTGCATTATCCATTCATTTAAGAAACTGTATTGGGTCTTACATTTTGAATGTATTTCCTGCAGTATCTAAAATCAAACAGAATTCATTTTTTCTAGCGGTGAACATTGATTCAGTAGGAGAAAATCAAGTCAATAGTAATCAGAGAAATTTATTACTTGAAACACTTTTTTTTTTTTTCCAACACATCGATCCTCTTTTCTTCACCATCAGCAATACATCTGATCGAAACAAAATTTATTATCATTTTTTCATCCTTAGAAGAAATGAAATCCTTCCCAATTCTAGTGATGAATGACTTGGTTAGCTGAGAAGCAATTTGAGAGAACAGTGTTTTTAGTACATGCCATCTCCTTGATCTTTGTGTGTCTACTAATGTGAATTATTAGGAAATCAGGAAGCTGTTTTGGAACAACCACATACTCCCTGAGTTCAGTAGGCTAAACTGAGTGAGATCAACATAAACCATCTTGACTTTTGGTTGTGATTGGTGTCCAAAAGTCAACTGCCACTTTGTGTCTTCCTTGGTTTGTGGTATGCAACTCTGAAATCAGAGACAAAAAAGGGGGAAAAAAAGGGAAAAAAAGAAACTACAAAATTTAATCTTTGGTGAAGTTTTACAAGCATATGTTATCATACAAATATGTACTCCCTTCCTGCAAGCTTTCAGCATATGGTCCTGTGACTATTCATGAGGAGTCAAATTAAAATAGTAAAAGATCAAGGCCAGAGGCAAAGCTTATGGACAGTTTTTATTGTACTAAGCTTAGCTTGCTTAGTTCTTATCTTGTCACTCCAGAACTTAACATGCTGAAGTCGTGCCATGAGTGGTATATTTCTGATGTTAACATTCTTTTATCAAGATAAGCTAAGATAGTCTTGAAAGCTCTGCATTCTCCTAGCACTACTCATGGAAAATTGAGCCCCTCCAGGTGAGACTAGTTGTGTATTCATTTGTGTCAGCAGTACGTACAGTGAGACCTGAATAAATAAAATAAAACTTGCCTGATTTCAGTGAGACTCTTCCTGGCTTTTCAATGGACACTAGAGCAGGAGAGGACCTTTGGAGGTCAATCTCCTTTTAAAAATATTTCAGTGTATTCTCGCTTCTGGAAATCAAAGTCAGTTAATGAAAGAAATTAAGATAACAGGAAAGATAAATTATGTTAAAGCAACAACATAATGGCTAAGAAGATAGCAAATAAAAAGCCACGTTTCGTGTGGAACTGCAGTACTGTGATATTCAGACTTTTACAGCACAAAGTGTTTTCTGCCTCAGTCAGTTCAGAAGAGGGTAAAAACTTCAGTGAATAAGGCATCTGTTCATGATTTCTTTTTATCCATGTTTGGTTTGTGACCCCAAGCTTCTCTGAAGTACTTCAACTAAAACTCATTCTGAGCACTGAAGTGTCCCTCTCTATATAGATGTTTCTATGGTGCTTATCAAACTAAGTGCAGAGTCATCAGGATCTCCCAGCTGTTTCACATTGCTCTGGCAATGCAAACTAGCTGTGACTGGCTGGTTAAGATGGATTTATTGCTGCTCTGCATCCCTATAGATGAACAAAACTCTCAGATTGTTTTGTAGTGACTTCATATTACTTAAGTCATAAAACCATCAATTAATTTACTTGCATAATACAACTGTGATGCAAAAAAGATGCCAAATACACTCTGTGTGTGTGTTTTCAATGTTATTAGGAACCTCTCCTTTGTTTACAGGCATTCAGATAGGAATCTTATTTTCAGTTCAGTTGTGCTAAATTTCATCTGGACCTACACACAATTCTGATATTTTATTCTGACTGGTAGCATTCATCTCATAGAGGGTTTGCAGTCTGATAATTTTATTCTCCATCTTGGTTTAATTTTTTTATTTTACATAAACTGTGGTTGTAACTGTGTAGATGTTCGGATTTCCAGTGTAGAAAGCAGTCTGAAGTACATTAATCAGAGAAAAAAAGAACAGTATGTTTATAAGTAATACTATAGTATTTGGGATTAAGTGCTGCATTAGGAAAAGATTCTTCACTAGAGGGCAGTGGTCATAGAACAGGCTGCCCAGAGCAGTGGGCACAGCCACAAGCTGCCAGAGTTCAAATTGCTTTTGGACGATGCTCTCAGATATAGAGTTTGATTTTTGGTAGTCCTGTGTGAATTTGATGATTGTTGTAGGTCCCTTCAACTTGGCCTATTCTATGATTTTATGAAGGCAGTTTCCAGACGTGACCCATTTATTGGTGATAATAATTTTCTTGTTGTACATCTAATTTTAGGATCTTATTTGTACATGTAATCTGATCTCAGTTTCATCAAAGAGTCTGTGTGATTAAGTTAGATAGTTTGGGAGATGTTTAATTGGCACAAGGGAAAAAGTAAGCCCTCTGAAAAATGTAAAAAATATAATCCTGATACTTCCTACAACTGTCTCTATGGACATTTTCTTGTCTAGTCTTATGTTCTTTAATGCACACTGTGGCCTTTAAACTAAGAATTAAATGGAATTCGATCCATAGAGAAAAGTGGGGCTGGGCTATAGAACAATTCAAATATATTTTAACATGAAATTACGTTTTTAGTTTGTTCACCAAGAATAATTAAATCTTGAGTATCTGAAGATGTCAGTTTTTTTCAGTCATATTTCTTAGAGACATTAATTTTGAGGATTTTTTTTTTCCTGAATGTTTTGCTTTTCACCTTAAAAGATGGCATGCATGGTAATACATAATTATCCATAGGACATTATTTTTTTTTTGCCAACAGTAATGTATTCCACTGTTAAGAGCAGTTATTTCTGTTCCCAAATGAGGAGAGTGAAAGGTTGAGAATGCATGCAGATTAGTAGTCATCAAATGTTTTGCATGCTGTTAAGGACTTTTAGTTAGGCAAATTTCATAAATGTCACAAGCAATTATTCAAATAGCAGAATACAAACAATGCTTTGAAAACACTTACATATGTAAAATGTCCTTTTAGAACCTGATATTCTGAGATCTCCTAATAACAGTCCATTATATACTTAAAGTTGGAGTGCTGATATTAAAATATCTTCTTTGGCACATACAAAAAGAAGATTCAAGAATATAACAACTGGATTAGTAGTAATATAATCAATGACTTTGAATGAAAAATACCTCAAAAAGGTAAAACCACATAAGCCTGACAAATGCATCTTTTGTACCTGAAGTTCAAGTCCTTGAAGGAAAACTGAGTCTCAATAATCCCAGTTGTTTTCACTCGGGAGTGCAAAACATCTTGCTCACTAGGCACGTAGTCAGGCATTGCTAGCCTATCCAAATCATTGAGATAACTAAGGAGAGTAAAAAGAAATGGTGATGGTGAATTCAAAGGGTGAACCAAGCACGACATATTCACTAGTCCATTCATATTGAACTCCTAAATATTTTCTGTAAATTACATGCTTAAATACTATTGTTTTTTATACAATCTTTATCCACAATCTAGATTTTAAAAATATTACGTATATTAAATGTCATTAATTTAGTTGTATATCATAAACAACTTTCTGAGAATTGAAGGTCAAGGAAATCCATGTTTTTCTCTGGGATGCTAAAAAACACCTTGTCAGGAAAGGGATGTTGTCCATTTCACTTCAGTGAATGGAAATTAGAACCACGGGGGAAGAACTAGACTGACTAGAAATAATATAGCATATCAAACCATTCTCTTGTAATGCTATCTTCCTTCCCAAGTAAAAGAGAAGGCAGAAGAGTTCGGAGTAATTCACAGTTGTGGGCCAGTTTCCACCTAGTTAGGGGTCTGTTTGACAAGTTTACAAGAGGAGGGTGCATGACATTTAAAAATAAATATTTTGTAATAAAAAACAGACGTTTCAACTAAGCTGAGAACCCATGAGGTTAACAGTCTTAAAGCTAGCTGGAAAAGAGTGGATTATCTAGTTTTGTGTCTAGCATACAGAGATAAAATCTGCATGAAATGAGAATCTGAACCAGATCTTTGAAGCCAGTTCTTGGCCTTCCCCCAGCCTTTCTCCTTTCTCTTCCAGTGAGAAGAAACTTCTTACAAATGGCCGAATTGAGTCTATAAATCTTACTGACTGATCTAGGAAGCAATGCAAGATAGTTTTTATTCAAAGAAAGGAAAAAATGAGGTGATATGTGAGTAGTTTTTTTGACTACTAATCTTTCTAGCTACTGACACTCAAATAATGAAGTAAAATAAAAGCAAGAAACCACATAACAGTTGAAACACTTTAAAGCTCTTACGCTGTCTCACTTGGCACCTTTCTTTCTATAGTGTGTATTTTATCTCTGGAAAAGAAAACACAGGTTCTCTAATGTTTCTTAGTGTTCATAATTTTTTTTTTCTGCTGCAGTAAAATTTGCTCAGCATGAAGTTTTGCTGTTCATCTTAACCAGAAAACTACCAAAACAAACCTCATAGCTTGCCATTATTGTCTGCAATATTTAATACATTTGTAAGTAAAAGCAAAAGCAAAGCCACTTCTTTATATATATTATATATATATATATATATATATATATATATATATATATTTATTGTAAAGATATGGTGGTGTATGGTTATAAAGACCATAAAATTCAGCTGATCCAAGTGCAATTGCAAGTTAATTATCTAATTAATAGAGCAAGAGATATCTTTGGATTCTTCCCACTATTGTAAATAGCCCCAGGAGGGCACCAATGGCAGAATGGAGAGCTGGCCAGTAGATTAGTCCAAATGCCAAATCAGGCTCACATTAGCACAATGTTTTCTGTGTATGGGTGTCTTGCTGAAATGATCTGAAGATAAGAATACCAGAGATTTTTTTTTTTTTTTCATGATATATCCCTGGTCTTATCTAAAATTGACGAGTTATTACTGACCAGAATCTGACCGTGCCTTTTTCTGCCAGGTGGAAGTAGCACCTCAAGCAGTTTCCCTGTGCAGGTACCTTTATCCAGCAGGAGGAGCTGCGGGAGCAGCAAAGGCTCAAGCTGCAGCTCTTGGAACGGACCTGAGCTGGAACAGCACTCTTCTTCAGGCCAAGGGGCAGATTTCTGCACTCCAGAACAATCTTTTGACAGTCATCTGACAATCACTATGCAATCATCTGTGCAATCGTCTAAGTGCATAGAGGATTGCTGATCCCCAGCTGGATCCTGACCCGCCATGAAATCGGAGCTGAACAGGGCTAGTCTCTGTTTATGTGCCTGCCACCCCCCAGGTCTCAGAAAGCAAACGAGCCATCAGGCATCACAGACCAAGATGGATGCTGAGATACTAACAGTCCAGGGACCACCAGGGCATGCAGCCAGATTCCTTTAAAGGAAACTTATGGTTTTTACTGGACTTATGTTTAACTGCTTGAAATCTTGAATGTATTGAAGTGCAACTTCAGGTAAAACCTAGGCTGTTTCAATTCACTTTGTCCTTCATTTTGTCAATTTTAGAATTACCCAGGGGCAACAGACATTTTTAAAAACAAAAAGTTAAGAAGACTCACAGAATTGAGCTATTTAGTTTTGCTTGCTTTCCTCGGTTGAATGTCTCAGATACATTATTGACATTATAGCGGGAGTAGCAAAAGCCTCATTCTTTCTCAGGTTAATGAGCAATAATTTTCATAGATTACGCTTGTGAAAAGTTCTAACTGCAGGGACCCCGTGCTGTTGCAGTAACAGCCAGGTGCCCAGCACCCTCAGGTTGTGTCACTTACTAGGCTGCTGAGTCGTTGAGCTCGTACTCTGATGCCCTTGCAAAGCATGCCTGGATCCCACCGTCTTTCCACAGTTGCTGGATGAGTTCAACCAACTCAGAAGACATGTTGCTATCATCCAGATTTGTTTCCATGCCACGGAGTTTCCTTTCATCTTCCTAAGAAGAAATTTCAGTGAATATTCTGCAGACATACTGTACTCTCTTTCTGGGTGTGCTTGGTTTACAAGGAATTGCAGTGTCAGGAAAATTTCTCTTTTTTTTTCCCATGTAACTGTGCTCACTTACGCATCCTTTTACAAGTTCACTTTCCATTAGTTAGTGCAAAACTTATACTCAGATTGTGATATGGAATTTTTTGCTTTTTACTGTTTTCTTTCATTCCCACATGGGCTCAGTTTCATCTCTCTTAGGTGTTCTCAGAAGGTCCAATTTTGAAGGAAGGCTTTTATTTTAAGACAGAAAAGCAAATCAGCTAAAATTCAGTGTAAAAGAGTAAGCATATTATGTGACTGTATTAGGACAGAAATATATAGTAAATATAATTATGAATATATTTGGGAGAAAAAAATTCTAGTTCTAAAACACGATGAGAAAGGAGGCAAAGGAAGTATATTTTTCCCTAGGAGAAGAAGAAACCTGAAAAATTCAAAATATTTTGTATGTATTTTCTAAATTCTTCCTTTTGCAGTCATTCCAAAAAGTCTTCATGCAATCTGTTACATTAAAAATATTTCTTTTCAGTAATGAATACACTAAAAATAATGAAAAAAAAAGAGTAAAATAGAGTTAAGCAGTGGGCAATTATAGACCATAATTCCTTCCAAGCTGTAGACAACTGAAGCAACTTGCAGTCAACAATTGCAAAAGTAAATATGAATTCTGACAGACCCTATTTTGTCAGGGAGTATGTTTTATTCAAAGGTGGAAAACATCTTCACAGTAATTTATAACAAATTATTTTAGGGATGTGACATATTTTTTACATTTCACTAGAAGTTGCAGTCTGTAGAAATGTTGTGAAAATCAGAGACTGATCAAAAGAAAAAGATAGCAGGTTTTATAAAATAGTGGTAAAATTAAGACAACATGCAGATATAATATAACATGCCCTATATAACATCCCCCTGGAGGCATTCGAGGCCAGGCTGGATGTGGCTCTGGGCAGCCTGCTCTGGTGGTTGGTGACCCTGCACATAGCAGAGGGGTTGAAACTAAATGATCAATGTGGTCCTTTTCAATCCAGGCCATTCTATGATTCTATGATTTTATGATTCTATGATATAATGTGGAAAAATAGAAAGTTTTGTTTAAAAGAAAAAAAGAGAACAGTACAATTGTCCTTGTATGTTCAAAAGCCCCACAAACAGCTCCATTCTGCAGCCCTATCCTACAGGTCAGTGCTGTGATCAGCAGACCTGACTCATCATTTCTTGTGTATGGAGCTTCATTTGTCTTCAGGGCTGCTGGAGTGCACACATGTTCAGCTTCAAGATAAGAATTGCCAAGTTCTTACCTTGATGTTCTTACTTTGATGTTATCACATATCATTTAATGTTTATCACTGTTCTCCTGCAGTGCTGAAACTGTTGGTTCACTAATGTATAATAAGAAGCCTTGAGCTCATTGGTTATTATGCAAAAGGTGGCAACAGTGGATTTTATTTCTTATGTCAAAAAGGAAGATAGCAGCAAACCGAGTCTATCATAGCCCTGGTTTATATAATGTGTAGTTTGCCTTTGCTACTTTGTCTCTGCTTTCAGTGCTGAAGATAAGCTCAGTCAGTGCCTTAGTGACTTTGGCCGGGTAATTCTTGGCCAGAACTCAGCAAGAACAAAGTTCAACAGAAATCAAGCTTTATATCTAAATGGTTCAAACTTATGTATGTGTAACGATTTCACAGAAGAAGCAAGCTAGTTTTGCATTTGGAAGAAGGGATTATGTTTAGTAAATGTGAGTGAAATTTCCAGAATCTTTAAAACTTAGGGCCAGATTGCTCTTTTGTGATTCTGGGAGAATAGAAACAAGGCACTGCATATGCCTTATACAGATGTAGTCGACTAAAGGCCTGTTCTGCCAATTACAGTGAAAATAAGGGTGTACTTACTGTGCTGTGATAAACTCACAATATCTGTATTTTCTGCATTTGGTTTGTATGATGCTAAGAAATAAACTGTGCCTATTTAACAAAAATTAAAAAGAATTAAAAAAATCAATTATTGGTTCTCCAGTCTGCGAAAACCCTTGGAAATAATTTCTATGAAGTTAGCATAGATTTTTGGAAGAAGCTTTATGGGATCTTGCAGTGATCCTCCTAACTTCAATTTTGTTAAAATAAATGCATGCAAAGGAAAAAAAATAGAAGTTTTATATCTTTCATTTGGGAATGTGCAGAATTTTCTGAAATTGGAACCAGTTGATATTCTGACAGACTTTCGAGAAATTCTCAGCAAGATCTGAATTTCTAACATCATACTAATCATTGCACTAGGAAGAAAAGTATGTATTTTCCTTTTAGCTCTTTCCCTGAAAATTCTGCAAGATTGACGGAAGACTGCAGGTCTTCTTACTGTAAATAAGCGGGCATTGTCAGTTTGTAAGAATCCTTCTTTGTTTTTTTAGCTCAAAGCTTGCTTCCTGAGGTATTTCTTGTGATAAGACTGACTTGTCTAGAAGATGAGTGATGGGTGTTGTTGTGTGGCAATCAACACCCTGTGTGGACAATTTTAGCTGTTTGCCTTCGGAAGACAGTGCTCAGGAGGAAGACAGTTTACGGGGGGAAGATCTAGCCTGTGATCGAATCACTCCAGTTTGTTATGGGAGGCTGGGGGATGATGCCATTGTATCCTGTGAAGGCAAAATACAAGTTGGTGCCTCCCTGCTCTCTCTTATCTTCTGGCAAGGCCAAGAAGATAGGAACAAAGGAGTTTCCTGCTGAGATCCCAGAGCCAGAAGCTGCCACTCCAAGAAGAACTGAGTCAACCACCTTGGGTTTGAGCTGTCACTCAAAAGACAGCTGACTCGAACACTTTGAAACCATTGAAAAGGGGCCATCATCACCATGGTCAACATTGTGGTTGCCATTGTCATCATCATCGTCAACAGAACAGCTCTGCCCGACGACCCACCACTACTGAAGATCAAAGACTGAACTACGAACCACGCTGGATCCACAGTGGTGACTATGTCCCTCTTGCTTCCTATAAGGACTCCTTGCTTCTTCTTTTCTATCTTTTCTGTCACCCTCCTTCCCTTCCCCATTGCCCTAATTCATAATAGTGTCCGTCCTCCCCTTCCCATCTCCCTAATTAAGATCTGTAATAAACTGGTCAGACCAACATTTGAACCGTCGTTTCTTAATCTCACGCTGGGTATACAGATATTAAAAGAACCTCTCTCTCCTATTAGTTGGAGCGCGATACAGTTTACTTGCCAAAAGAAGCCCAAAGTTGTATGATTTGGAACCGATGTACTGGATGGAAGTATGGTATTGCTAGCCTTTGCTCGAGGGCACAAAAGTGGGAACTGAGTTTCCGCATTTTTTTGTCTCTCTAATCAAATTTCTGATCAAAACTACTTCCTGATGAGTTCATGAATCCTATTTAAAGTCTCCTCATAAAGTCTACAAGGCGCTGAAATCAGTGTTACAGGCTCCTTTAAAGAAGTTGGACAATCTGGAATGTTTTGTTTTGCCTCAGTGTTCTTGTGTACAGTACTGCAAACCACACTAGGAAAGTCAAACTCCACTTCTCTGCAGTGTCAGTGTGTAAGCATTGCTTCTGTACATTGTGGAGGTCTCTGCCCCAGGAACAAGACAAAACTGAAGTATTCCCAACAGTCTACATGACATTTCCTTATGTGTTTGAGCCCCAGATTTCATTCTTAAAAGGGAAATACTTATTACAATTCCCAATATCAATAAATAAGTGCCTAAAGAGACAAGAAAAGAATTTTTTTTTTCTTATGTATTTTAATGTAAGGAAATCTTGTTGAATCCTAACGCAAACAGTATTTAGTTTTCCCTACTGTAAAGCAGATACTCACCTCTCTTGCTTTACTGTCATATTACAATAAAATGAACAATGAACTCTTTTTCTTTCTATTAGAATCTCCTGTTATTTCAAAAGAATGTATTTTAATACCTACTTAAAGACAAAGAACTTCATACTCACAATTCTAGCTGGGTTTTCATAACTGATCCCTAACTTAGTCATTGCTTTCACGATAGACAGGATAGACTGCACTGTGTTACTGTAAATGATAGGCCGGAACTCCATGCGTTCTTGGTATGTGAAACCATCTTTATGGATGATCCTGGAGTAAAAACAAACAAAAAAGTGTACAGGTAAAAAGGAAACACGAGAAAAGTTGGATCAAATTATTGTTTTGTTTTGTATGAAAAAGAACTGAATCCATCTGGCTCATGGAGAAGCATTTATCAGTGGTTAATCTGCCTATTCTGGTGGAATGGATTAACTGTGGTTTCTGTAATGACACAAAGCTCGGTTTTAACTTCCCAGTTCTAGTGAATAGGTAACGTATGACTCAAAGTAATGCTGTATGCCTCCAGTACAGATCCCCAGCCCACTCCTATGGATTCAAAGGTGCATAGCTGGAGTTAGATCTCAAATATTTTACTATTAGAATCTGCAGTATTAGACTTGGGCTCTTACATTTTTTGTTTAGTCACTACTGTTTTTAACTTGAATCTCGTCCGAACGGGAAAAGAAATGTAACTAAATTTCTGCACTGCAAGACACTTCCCAAGAAAAAAAAAAACACGCATATTTCTCCATGCGTTGATTACAACTTCCAGTTCATGAAATATATTAATATTATTATCTATAATATCTTTGGGAAGATAGGTATTATTCAGGAGAATTTGCCCTATATTGTAAAGGTCAAGGAACTTTAGCTGTCAAATTCAGTTCTTCAATTAATATGATTCTGAAAGAGGGATTGTAATTTCATAATGTTCCCTGACTGAACGATGGTGTGGGGTTAAAATTCTCCAAGATCAGTGTGCAGATTGTGTCTTGATGGAAAAAAAAATAAAATTGGTTCATTTGGAGGAGTTTGATATAGCTTGATGATGGTGTAGTGGATTGGGGATGGCCTAAGCTATGGTCTGTGTACAAAGCACCATGTAGCCCAGAGATCCCCACTGCTGTAGCTGGCCTCCTTTAATGAGTCAGATCACCTCAAAATCGAAATTCTTTGAACTCTCATCAGAAAATGCAGAACATTGTATTTAAGCATATTTTCTCCACCTTTCCACTTGCTACCTGTGAAAGTAGGTGTTTTTCTATAACAAAATATAAAGCAGCTGAAACTTGAAGCACATGAGCTTGGTTTGACTGCTTTGAGCCTCTCACAGTAGTGCCCAGAACAGGATGTGTGGGGAAGATGAGTGTTTTGCCTGGGGCTGCAAAAATCCAGGATAAGAGTGAAGGCAAGACCTTAATGCAGTCTCCAAATGACTATTTTATATGTTGTTTTCATGCTTTCCTTTGAAGAACAAAGAGAGGAAGAACATTTAAGATCTTGAAATAAAAGCAAGAATATGTAATTACAGAACAAAACCTTGTTTTTGCTGAAGGCTTTTTATGTGCTATTTTTTCCAATGTATATGTATTTATGTCCTCTGGAAGAAGATATGTTAGCCAGCCTTTTAAATCAGTGGTGAATTTTGTTGCTTTTATTAAACATCCATCATTCTTGTGTCATCTTGTTGTCACCTTGTTTTAAAATCCTTTCTTAAGAATGATATATGTATAGCCAGAAAAAGCTTTCTATCAAACAGAAAATCTTCCTTGGATAAAATAAACAACCTATGAAAATTACATGCAGGATGCTGAATCTGTGAAGTGTTTTTTTTTTCTAGTCATAATATCTAGATTATGTGCCTATGGGAAGAAAGATTTCAATCTCCACATTTTAATTATTATTATTTTCACACAAGGTGGATCTCTTACCAGATAGGTGGCATTGGTTCAGTCTCAGTGGGCTTGATGAGTTACCAGATAATTTTTTTTCTTTTTATTTACTGGACCGTTATAGTTCTGAGACTTACAAAATAGATTTGCATTGAAAATTCAAGGCACAGAAATACACAATTTGGTTTTAAACAAGTTATCTCACACATTGGAAATGTGAGAGTCAGAAATGAGGAGGTCCAGAAGAGCACTTTTATTTCTCTTTTTAGTTTTGCTCCATAACCATCCTAGCTTTTTGGGGGAGCTTGTAACACATTTATATTCAGAGCATCAGAAGATACTGTGCAAAGCTAAGTGGAATGTTTTAACTTTGATTGAAATTTTCACTCAGGGAAGAATGAGGTTTAGGAATTAGAAAATTATATTAATAGGGGTAAAATAAATCTAATTTTGGTGAGAATTTGTGTTTTCAGCAAATTGACTCCCTGTGTAAGTATTTATCAGTCTTCTCTAGAAAATGTTATACTTAACCAAAAAATCAACTTTTCTTAAACTGCAATTTTTCCCTTTTTAGGAAAAAAAAAAATTGGTTATGACAGAAAGTTAACATTTTGTGTGAAAAGGGAAAATTTTCATCAACATTTTTATTGGAAAATAGTTCATATTTGGGCTCAGATTGGCAGCTAATATATGTGCAAGTCTTCAAGTAACTTAGCTTTGTCATTTTCTGACCTCTCTTTGAAGCTGTTTAGGGTTATCTGCTTTATTAAAGTGTTCAGGTCAGAGGAACATCTTCAATCCTCTCCTAGTTTGTGAAGTTTTCAGCCCAATACATTTCAATGGTTTATTGCATAGTAAGTGTTTCCTAACTGCAACACTAAACAAAAATGAAGTCATCCACCACTGAACTGGAACAAAAAGTAATTAGGCAACTACTGAATGCATGGTATTAAATCAGTCCAATTAGAAAATGAGGTGCTTAAGTAGTAGCAAATTGGTTTTATGGTATAACAGTTTTTACTCCACTTTTAAAAATATGTTGGTGAAGATACAGAACGCTGAGGAAGATGAAGCATTTAGGAGAACTTAAAGTAGAAATAATATTTCTGATTTAGTAAAACATTTTTTTTTCTTACACAGAAAGAGAGTGGAGTCATGACTTAATGGTTACTATGCCTGTAATTTTTTCCTGTACAAGGGCTGCTCTGAAAGTAATGCCTCCTATTTTATGGTATTGGCTCATGATGTCAAAGGCAGATGTTGGTGGTAGCGTATAGAGGTTGAATCTTTCCACCAGTATTCTTTTGCAGTTTTTTGCTGGGTAACAGATGGCAGCAGAGGGGCAGTCTGACAAAATGGCATCTGACATGGAAGTATGTATGAAGAAAAGCTGTGAATTCCTCCATGTGGAAAAAATAGCACTCACTGACATTCATTGATATTTGCTGAATATTTATGGAGAAATAACACTACTGACTTCAATCTGTGTGGCATCATGTACATGTTGAACAGATTTCTACCACAAATATTCTTGCAGTAGTTTTATGCACAGTCACCAATTCTTCCATACCAGTTAATCCAAATTTGAACAGTGATTTCTGTATTTGGGCTTGTACAGTCTATTTTCTTCCCTTTTGATTACAGTATGATTACCCTGTCATACAGCTCACTGTATGGATTGACAACTAAATATTTTCTCATCTGAACTGTGGAAGACCTGAGAACAATCATTCTGGCCACTGGCAGGATCTAGAATAATAACATGGAAACCAACAGTGTTCTATGGAATTCAGTTTGGAAAAACAATGATGGAGCACTATTTTTATATAATGTCAGTGCTTCAATATTTTCATTTGAGATACAGTGAAATAAAATGAAGTTAATAAGGACTAAACTAAAATTGAGCAAAGGGAGATGATTGACATTGTGAAATTAAACTGTGGAACTACTTGCCATCGAATAATGCACACGTTTACATTGGTTCAAAGAGATTCAGGAGAAACCAGATATGAAGTAACTGAAGGCTTTTAAACACAATGATACCATCTCTGGTTCTCTTCTTCAGGATGCTCCCTGACTCACAGATCACCAGATACCAGCAGGTTATTTAGTGAAAGTATTACAATGTGCTTCCATGTTTGGTTTGTTCTGGAAACATCCTCCAATAGATACTGGAGAAGATGGGGTAGTAGGTAGGTGGATCTGTTATGGCCCATTGTTTTATATCTCTGTGATCTGTAACTCCTACCAAAGACAATTTTGAAGCTTCCCTGCTCTTCAGCAAGAAGATGTGCATGATTTGAGCAGATTTGATTACCAGTCCAGCTGTGTGCCTTAGTCACTTTGTGTTGTTGAATAAAAACTTGATTTTAATGATGTTTCTTTGCATATTATTCAAATAAGCATAAATATTGTATTAAGGCATTAGCTAGATGACTTATGCTACAAATAACAATTTCAACAACTGATATGAATATTTATGTACTTACTTCATTTGCTTTACAATAGTGCTCTTTCCTGACTCTCCAGCACCTGCAGAAAGGGAGTATTAAGATGTGATTGATACATAAATACATAGCAAATATTAAAAATACCACTCTGGAACAGAATTTTGTATCTATGAGGAGCAATACAGATGTTCCAGATCCTCATTGCACTAACTATAATCCTCTCTAGCAATTTAAAAAGATGAAATCTTGGACAAAGTATTAATTCTGAAAAAGGAAAGTAATTCTTTAAAAAGAAAGGAACATGCAGTCAATTAAAGCAAAAACATAGTCTCTTCAATTGTTAAAGAAATAAGGTAAGGATTTTATTTTGATTGTGTGACCATCAGCTGGGTATATGGGCAAAAAGAGATGGAAAAAGCTCCAGCTCCTGAGTGTTGTTCATTACATGATTCGTAGCTTCTCATCTAATGTGTTTCATGACTTTTATAAGCCAAACCCTCCGGTGTGTTTGAACAACTGGAAAAGTGGAGTATCTGCACGGTTTAACTCATGATGCAGAGGAAGCACATGAGCAAATGTCTTGATAGTGCTACATTGACTCTGTCCCATGTTCTACTGCTTTGAGAGGGAAACCTACCATGTAGCCATGTGCCATGTTGCAGATACAGCTTGGGAATGGTTCCGCAATAAAATTCCGCAGGCTCTTGGTTGCACAGACATTTTTCAGAAGTGGAGTTAACTTTTGGTTAGAGCACTCTGATGAATTTGGCCTTCTCATCTCACGCAAAGTTGGTAATTGCAATAGAAACCTTTCCACTGGAAATTAGTGTGTGAGTTTAACTAATTTTAATTTCTGTCAGTGAGATTAGTGAGGAACAGGACTTGACTACACCTGCCAAACGAGGGCTAGATTTTAAAAGCACTTGAAGAGAGGATTTAATTTTGCATATGAATCCTTGGAACAAGAATCATCATTGCCTTTTTTCAGGTTATCATTTACTTCATTGGACAGCGTTGAATACTTCTGACAAAAGAGAAAACCTGAGACATAATGACTGAATTTAGGGGCTCCTCAATGAATGGAAAAAGCAAGATAATTTCCCAAACAGATTTTGTAAATCTAACAACATTTAAATGACAGAGATTAATTTACTCAATTAATTTACTCAAGACAGCAAATCATACGCAAAACATTTTCTAATGCCCACAATTGGAACAGCAGAAAATGTGAGAGAAAAACATCAAGCCTATGCAAAATGATCTGATGCTGCCATCTGCCACAGTTTGAACAAAATGCAAATTTGCTATGGATCTTTTTTTATGTCCTCAATTCCTCTCTGAAGAACCTGGTAAAAACCTATTGGTGAGACAGCATTTGCAGCACTTTCTTTAGAGAAACAAACAAGCAGTTGTAGGAATTCCTACATTCATCTCATGGAAAGATCACAGAATCACAGAATTGTAGGGGCTGGAAGGGACCTCCAGAGATCATTGAATCCAACGCCCTGCAAAGCAGGACCCATGCAGCAGTCTGCACAGGTAGCTGTGCAGGCGGCCTTGAATATCTCCAGAGAAGGAGAATCCTCAGCTTCCCTGGGGCAGCCTGTTCCAGTGCTCTGTCACCTTTACTGTGAAGAAGTTCCTTTGCATATTGGTGTCAGGAAGCATAACATAGAAATGAAATTTCTATGAATTAAATTTAATAATTTATTGAAAATAAGAAGCAAAACATAGAAATGAAGCTCTCTGCCAGATCTGGAAGACAACGGCAAAATAGAGTAGGCAGTAATAATTTGTATCTTATGGAAGCATTTCTTTACCTCTGTTCATCTCTAATTTCATTAGATTGGTTGGGATTTGAAGGGACCTTGGAGACCATGAAGTTCCAACTCCCTGTTGTAGGTAGGGACACCTCCCTCTAAACCAAGTTGCTCACAGCCCCATCCATCCTGGCCTTGAATGCTCCCAGTAAGGAGGCATCTACAACTTCAGTGGACAATCTGTTATGGTGTCTCTCACCAACCTCACATTAAACAATTTCTTCCTAATATCAAGTCTAAATCTACCCTCTTTCAGCTTAAAACCATTTCACCTTGTCCTATTGCTACCTACCCTTATAAAAAGTCCCTCCCCAGTTTTCTCGTAGGCCCCTTCAGGTTCTGGAAAGCTGCTATACGTTCTTCTCGGAGCCCCAGGCAAAGAGAGAGCCCCTCATAAAGGAGGTGCTCTAGCCCTCTGAAACAACAAATGACCCTCAGACACTGACTTTTCTCTGGAGTGTTCTTTCATTGTAGCAGCATTTGTACCCCAGGAGATGGGCCAGAAACAATTTACTTTGCACCTGCTTCCTCTCTTGCTTCCCCTTCCTGTACAGCGGGCTCCTCAGGATGGGAGTGCAGGGCCAAAGCTGCATTTCAAAGCTCTGCAGAATCTTCTGCTCATGCGAACAACAGAAAAAACATTGGGTAGCCCCTGCAAGACTGCAGGGGGAGCTGAGGGTAGCTTTCCTTTAGGAAGTGGTGTAGAGAGAAATTGTAATCTAGCCCAAATTTTCTACATAACATAGTAGGCCTTAGGCTGAAATCAGTCTTGTCTTAAAGCTTGGAAAGTTTAACTGGCTTTTGAATAACAATCTGTGAAGATCTGTGAAGGTATCTGCCTGATGGGGACAAGTAACATGCCATTGCATGTATTTTGCATTTCACATGCAGTTGATTTCAAATTTATCTTTGATTTCTATATCTCTATTTGGATGCCAGATTTCCTGGAAATGAATAAAAATATGGAAAATAAAGGCAGAAATATCTCAGTCAATGCCTGAAATTCTTGCTGTGCTCTTGGGAGTCAAAAGATATTCGCTGTGACCTGGTGTGTGCTGCATCCTCTTTCACACTGTTCTTAACAAACAGACTGGCAGCCTGTAACTGCCTCTCTTCTTGGCTGGGATGTTTTGAACTCAACCTCCCAAGTTCGATGCTGATCTGTGCTTCTGGACTCACTGTGACTTCAGGGAAGACTCAAAAAGAAGTGCATTGTGGTATGGCTGAAAGCATGGAGCTGCTGCAGAACCTCACCCAGCAGCGTGACATGATTTTTCCTTTGCTCCAGGAAGTCTCAGCCTCTACAGTGCACAGAAGTATACAGATAGATCAGGAATAGAGAAAAAAAAAAAAAAAAAAAAAAAAGGAGGTGCCTTGAAAGTCAAGGATACTTGCCTGAATTCAAAGTAGAGATAAAACCAAGATGTCAGCTGCATCCTGACTCCCTCTACTTTCCTATGCAGAATAACAGACTGGTCAAGGTGTGAAGGACCTCGAGGTCCATCTGCTACAACCTCTGCCCAAGCAAGGACACTCAGAGCAGGGTGCCTCCATGTCCTGAAGACTTGTGGAGATCTCTGAGGAGATGACTCCACATCTGCCTCTGGGCAGCTGTCGCAGTGCTCTGTCTGCACAGTAATGATATAGTTCCTGGAGTTCAGATAGAATGTTCTTACAGTTTCTGCCTATTGCCTCTTGTCCCATCACTGGGCACCACTGAAAAGAGCCTGGTTCTGTCCTTCAGATATTTATGGACATTGATGAGATTCCTTTGAGTTTCCTCCAGGCTGCAAAGTCCTAGATAGCTTCCTCAGACTTTTCTCACAGGAGAAGTTCTCCAGTCCCTTTGTCATCTCATTGGTGCTACAATGGATTCTTTCCAGTATACCCATGTCTCTTTTGCACTGGAAAGCCTCAACCTGCTGCCAGTACTCTGCCTAATGAAGTCCAGGATATGTTTAGTTTTCTTGGCAGATAGAGTGCACTGCTGGCTCATGTCCAACTTGGTGTCCACCAGCACCTCCAGGTCTTTTTCTGCAGAGCTGCTTTCCATCTCATGTCCCCAGCATGTCTTGGTGCACAAAGTTGTTTGTCCTCAGATGCAGGACTTTACACTTCTTGTTCACAAACTTTGTGAGGTTCCTATCAACACATTTGTTCAGCATGTCACCGTCCCTCTGGATGATAGTACAATCCTCTGTCATATCAGCCACTCCTCTTTTTTTGTGTCATAAAAAAATTGCTGAGGGTACAGTCTGTGCCATTGCACAGATCATTAACGACTATGCTTTGTTTGAATATTTGTGGATGCCATGGAGAGTAACAAATCCCTTTCAAGATTAACGTCTGCTGAGCTGCTGAAGAAGTTTTTTGTTTTTTGTTTTTGTTTTTTTTTTAATATATATTGTGCTTCTTTTCTGTATCAAAAGAAATAGCTGTTATCTCTTTACAGTTATTATTTATATGATAATAAAGGTTTGGTTTAGGAAATTTTCCAGAAGGAAAAGTAAGAAAATAAAAAGTATTACCGCCTGAATATTTTGTTTGAAATTTGTTACGGAAGCCACTGACTTTCATGTGAAATGGCAAAAAATGGAGAAAGAAAATCGTCAAGTTAAGATCAGAACATGTGTCTCACCTCTGCCTGAGACTTACCTGTGGTGCTTAAAGCTCTCAAAATCACAGCTTTCTGATCCTCTTACCAAACTGAGCAAATTTATGCACAGAAGGAAACAGGTAAAGAGATCTAAGTTCTCAATTAGCCCTCTTCTCTCTTGGTGGTATAAAGTTCTTAAATGTCTTCCCCACTCATCTCCCCAAAAGTAAAAAAATAAATAAACTATTGTCTTCCAGTCAACAGGATTATTGTTCTCAAAGTCTTTGCTTTCAGAACAGATATAGATAGCAGCAATTTTAACCTGTCCCCAGAACTATGGTAATTGTGAAGGATTTGATTCATTTTAACTGTCCACACTTTGAAACTCTGTATTGAGACCCACTGTCAGAGATCTGTATTCAATGGAGGCAAATATTTGTGTCTAAAACTAAAAAAAAATCACTGGACTTTTCATCACTTCATCACATCACAATCATGAGGTAGACTAAATACTCTAAAAATGAGTACTTCCAAGTGAGATGGGGGTGGCCAACACTCACCACTGGAAGCTCTCCTGAACTAATAAACTTGAAAGTTGTAATCAACTTCAAAGTTCTAATAGTTGTCTGATCTACAGGTGAGTTCTTCTTTCTGTGAAATGTCGCTGTTGATATGTAATACTGTGAGTACCAGCTGTTGTGGTGTGCTTTGCAATTTACATGCAAATCACAGGCTGGCCTACGAAGTACGAAAACTTCAGGCAATGTGGTACAAGGCTTGACCATACCTATTTCCTGAAGCAAAAGAAATAAAACTTTCATCTTAGAGTTCTGGTATGATTTTTCAAAGTAAAAACATGCAGAGAGTAAATTTCTGGCAAGGATGGCCTTGGTAGCACAGCAGCATTTAGCAGAGAGGGCTTAGACCTCTTGGCTGCTAGGCAGCTTCTCAAGAACATGATAAAGGGACATCATTTTTCTATTGATTCCTCTCCCTGTGTGTGTGTGTTTTTAAACAGCACATTATCAGCTCTGTGTACAGAATATGTTTGCTGAGATTAAGGAACATGATACAAACAACTGCGTTGTCTTTTGTTTCTGTCTGTCATTCAATTTGTATAAAATGATGTATCAGAGGACACAACAAGCTCACAGCTGGTCATGGCTGTTTCTCAGAGACATCTCATTAACACAGAGGGCAAGTCCCCCACTCCTTCTGTCCTGCCTATCTCTTCTAAAAAGCTTGTAGAAATCGGAGTATTCCAGTTATGTCATTTGTCCCACCACATTATTTCCATCTTCTCTTGCTTATAACCCATGTTGCGTGCATTGGTGTAGAGGCACTTCAGCTTCTTGGGAGAACCTCACAAATTCCTCTGGGACAAATCATAAGTTCTCCCATTCTTCTCGAAGTGACAGTGCTCCCTGGTTCTTCTCAGTCACTCAGCACTACATCCCATTTCTCTATCAAATCTAGCTAATGTAGCTTAAAGTTCTGGTGATAAGGCCAGATAGCTGGCTGCCCTGATCACCAGCTGGCTATAGAAAAGTTGATGTGGTGCCCCTAATACACACTGCTTCAGCAGATGTTCAACAGAAACCTTCACTCTAACTTAGACTGAAAACAGGCCTAAGTTTTATTCACCTCAATTTTTTTTAAGACCAACTAAATGCAGGTTATTGACTGTCTGTCTGTCTATCTATCTATTTATTCATCAAGTGTTTTGTTCCTTGTAGTCTAGATCCTAACAGCTCCCCAGAAGAAAAGCCTTTCCAAAACAGCATCCAGACACAAAATTTGAATTTTTATTCTGTGTATTATGAATAAAAGTAGATAACATAGAAATACATACTATAGAGAAAACTGGTAAAAATGTATCAAGTTCAGATGGTTGTCTTGTTTCATGAATAGAATGTGAATAGTTGAGAATGAAAAATATCAAACGAATTAAATTGAAGTCTTTTTCATATATCTTGCAGCTGATCTCAGAGCATTTTATCAACAGAATTGTAATGCTGAATAATGTCAAAAATAAAAAGACTGTATATATAGGAAAACTTTCTGTGTTAGTGTTCTTAATAATAAATACATACATATTTTCTAGAAGTAAGTTTGTGTCCAGTGTAAGACAGCCCACAGTGAGTGCCAAGGTTTGAAGATCAAAATACATCATCAAGCTGCTTATCTTACAAGTTTCTTTTTATTCTCTAAGTTCCTCTTAAGGATGTAATGTATTTCCTTTGTGGATCAGTGTTGGTCAGAGGCAGGATGCTGGAATAAATATGATTCTAGTTTTGACTAACTTGAGTTTGACTCAGCAGGACCAATATTTTTTATATTATTTTTAATAACATCATTTCATTTTACTACCTTCTGTTCTGCTATCTGCGCTTTTATGCATTAAAAAAAAAAAGCCCTCCTAAGGGCTTCTGTAAAAATGGAGTGGACGAGTTTGGAAAACAATAAATTTCAATAAGTGATAACACGTGAGGGTTTTCTATTTAACCATTTGTATTGCTTAATCCTGCTGTAAATGAGTGCATATAGTATCATACAAAAAGTCTGTATTACATTCTGCATAATTAAGCAGAATTTTCAGAACATTTATTCTAAAAGCAACTTCTTGTTTCTCAAATCTTTACATTCTTTTACATTCTTAAAGATTTATATAATTTAAAATTGCATACTTAGAATCACAGAATGGCTTAGGTTGGAAGGGACCTTAAAAATATATATTCATCTCTCGTCCTATAATTACATGATCATTTTCAGCCCATTCCTTGTGTCTTAGTTGTTGGCTTCATACATATCAACAACCAGAAAGCATGCCATACTTGTGTTACAGGATTATTTTCTTCCAGTAAATTAGTACATTCAGAGAGATTCATTGTTCTAAAATTTTAGAGCAAAATAACACATCAGTGAAAGAATATTATCAACAATTTTTATTTTATTTACCCAACAGTAGTAGTTTGACTGTCCTGGCTTCCCTCTCTGCATCTTCCTGGAGTTTCTTTTCCAGCTCTCTGGATCTCCTGGCTGACTCCTTGCTCTCAGAACTGGCTCCACCGCCCATCTTGAGGTATTCACAATCCTTTCTTTGTCCCAACTGATTTACTTCTAGATAGACCAGTTGCTTTTATTACAGAAGGCCAATAGCCTGTTCTTTGAGAAAAATCTAAAAATCCCCGTTCAACCCCTGTGCTCAGCTTTCAAATCAAGTTGTCCATTTACATGTGTCATATGATCTGAAGACATTACAGTCAAGGATTTGCATAGAGACATAAAATGTACTGTTGTGATGCCATAGAACCAAGATGATGTATTCAAAAATAAAAACCAGGTCTGGATGGTTTTCTGTCCTTGTTTGGATGAGATACAGCCTCACTCATTTCAAATAAATATGCAGAATGTTTTCAAATGAAAAAAAGTTGGGAGCAGCTTAAGGGAAAAAATTTCAGCGTATGAATCAGTCTTTGTGCTGTGGAGAAAAAAAAAAAAGATTTATATGTCTTTGAAGCATTCTAAGTTGTCATAACTAAATATCTTTGTTATCTAATCGAGTTATTAATCAGCACACAGTATGTTCAATGTATTTTCATGTTATGGCAAGTGCATTTATTTACTTGTAATGATAATAAGTTTTTCACTGTGGTTTATAACATCTTTTATTATAGTTTTGTGTGATCATTCCTTAATGAATGTAATTGTGCTTTTCCATTGCCCTGTGATTATGTTATCAGTTATCAGTTTCAGCTGAGAGTACCACACCTTTTTATGAGGAGATAAGACAGGAAAGAGGTCAGATTCTCCTCATTGATGTAATTATTTTGCCTAGCTTTTTTTGCTCAGTGCAATTGCAATATAGAAGTGTTTTTATGTAATATGGTGGGTGCGTATGTTGTCAGCAGTGTATGGAGAAAATATACTCTGTTGTAATTCACACCTGGCTGAATTACTGTCAAGACTAAAAGATTGAAAATACATCATCTTTGGTCTCTTCTCCTTGGATTAAGAATTAAAATAAGTCTCGTTATTGGTATGCAGTACCATGCAATTAACTGCAATTTTATTCACTTTATATGCAGTATTTCAGTTATATTAAATGCACATATTTGTATAAAATTTTATGGCAATTTTGCAGTTATTGACTAGTAATAGTTGGTAATGCTCTGACTTCACAAGATTTAGCCTGGAAATAATATTTAAGGGAAGTATAAGCATGCAGGTGTGTTTGAGTGATATTAGATAAATTTTCAGATCAGAAGAAAAATGAGGAAGAAGATCAGAAGGAAAGTATTTCACTCATCCTATTCAACAGAAAAGTAACTTTCTCCTTCCAGCAATCCAGGAAGGGAACCAACACTGGGCCATGAAGGTGGGAGGGAGAGGAATGAAGATGAGCAATGTTCCTAATGAGTGATCCATGGGAGTAGGGGAGTGCTGCCTTCTGAGAAAAGACAGGCCCTCTGCTGTTCTGGTCCCATTTATTACTGAGTGTCACTTCCTACTTAAAAAAGACCACATAATGCAATAAAGATCTGAAGTTGTTCAGTACATGCTTCTCAGTGTAGCAGGAAGTCTGTTTTCAGTACTCTGCACTGCTTTGCCAGAAAGGAATTACCAGTACTTCCAACAGTTGCATTTTTGCATATATTTCTATAAAGGGTAAGATTGCTTTGTTTTGTTAAGCTTGTGTTCCTACTTTGCTTATTTTTTAAGGCAGATCAAAATAAGACCTTAATGCAGCTGTACTAACAACTTGTTTGTTTAAAAAATGAAAATAAGCAGCCCCCAAACTATTATATCTGTACCAGGTGTCTGTTTACCAGAACCATAGGCAAGTACTGTGCCCTCCTGGACTTCAGTGTTTAGGAAAGTAATTTATTAAGCATTTCTCAATCATTTCATTTTGTCATTTCTATTAAATATGTACTATCTGGGATTTTTATTTGATAAATTACAAAGACTCTTTGTAGACTTGTTCAGTTGTCTCATAAACCAATATATAAGGCATATACTGGTATAACTGTTAATTTTGCATTAAATTTTTACAGTATCTAACTGAAATTGTGCAATTGTAAACTAGAACCTATCCAGGTGCAGTGGAAGGAAATGAATGTAAATAAATAACAAAGAAAGCTTTACATCATTTTGCCTAGATGGAAAGCAATGGAAAACCAGGTGTGATTTCCATAGCATACATTTCCTAGCATCTTCTGTTGCATGTCTACATATAGGAATTGATTTTATATAATCAGGTGTTTGATAGAAACAGACTGCAAAAAGAACATCAATAGAAATAAAGATAAAAGCCATTACTTCATAAACATGCAATGCCTTTAACATTTTACCCATCTGATTTTCTTGCTTCTACCTTCTAACTCTTAACTAAGTAGTTTACTGGGAACCACAAAATCTGCTTCCATTTATCTGGAGAATTAAAGCAGATTTAGGAGGAAAAAGAGGATTCTGATCTACTTTGGACATCATCATTATTATTGCTGTCACTATCTATATTCTAATTGATGAATTTTCAGCTAATGATCAAGCGGAAACAATAGGCATTGGCTTATAGGACTCAGATGAATTTAAAATGTACCACAGTAACTTTTTTTCCATCACTTCTAGTTGCAATAATAAAATTATTGTCTCTGTGTCTCTCTTCTGTTGTATAAATCAAGTATGGTTGAAACTGAACTTACTGAAAAAGAGTACATCTGGAAAAAGTTCCTCTGAAATACACTCACATTTTGTATAGAATATTAAGTTAATATTACCGGAGTTGTTTCTAGTGATGCACTCTAGATGGTGCTGATATATAGAGTGCACACGACAGGCATTTAGTAGCTACTGTGATAAATTATGAGACTTTCTGAAAGGCTCTTACAGGTAATCATTTCCAAAGTTATGGATTTGGAATTCTAGACTGCATTTTCTAATTTTGATTTTGCAATTTAAACTGAAGGTGTGCTGGTTTGGGATATTTGTTTCGTAAATGTGGATTGAACTCATTGTAAACTCTTTCAATTAACTGATTTTTTTTTTTTTTTTTTTTTTTTTAATTTTCAGTTTCTTTAAGGGGAAAAAAAAAAAACACCAAAAAAACCCATCTCTGTAATCTTCTTAGTAAAAGAAAGAGTAATAGCTTATAGCAATAGCTTATAGAACACCTGAAAGGTTTTTTGGTTGTTTGTTTCTTTTTATTTCTTTGCATTCATGAACTGACATCTGTTCATCTTTTCCACATTTCATTATAAGTAATGTTTTCCCTTTTCCCTGATAACATTTGGAAGACTGACATTGACAAAGAAAAAAAAGAGGAAGTTTTAGTAAGAATGGAATTCTCTAAATATAGAAACTTTCAATACATTTCCTTCGTTATGCACCTAAATAAAGGAAGCCTGAAAAATCTTCAGTACAATACCTGTAACAATCAAAGGAAGCTCTTCATCTTTTTCTGTTGTTTGGTTACTTTGTTACACGTTGTCCTTGTTAGCAGAGAAAAAAAATCCTTTACACCCAGAATGTTGGCAAATCCATCTGAACTTTTCTAACTACTTGCGTGCAGATACTTTGCTGAATGACAGATATTACAGACACATCAAAGCAAGTGTGGACACTTCTTACAGTCAACTCTGCTATTAGCTTAGATCCATTGCAAGCTACGTTAACTTTGTACAAAGGCAGAGCTTTCAAAACCTGTTAAGAATTAAGATTTATTACCTTTGGTACTTGGCCACGGTCATGGGACTTAAATGTTTGTGGATCCGAGGTACTATCTCCACATAGGGCTGTGTTTTACTATGGTATGTTTGGTTTGGCTTGTCATCTGCAATGTATGATGTAGACATTCCCATATCACTTGACTGTGATACGCAATGATATACAGGACATCTCAGGGTATTAATGCTTATGCGAGATTTTCATCTCTCAAACTCACAAGAACAGCAGTGTTAGATAGACCTGGAAGAAAGTAGTGGGATTAACTTCGTACTGGCAACCCAGCCTAGCAGTAACAAGTAACAGGTGGAGAACCTTTGAGTAGTAGATTAGCTGTTGACTTCTTCTTAAGTTATCTCCCTTTGCCACTCAAATTGTCTTCCAAGATACTGTGATTCAGTCATAAAACTGAAACAGTTGAAGCTTGAGTGTGATATGAAGGCCACAAAAAGCTGTCCAAACAGATACCTAGGTCTTTTAAGAATCATCTTCAAGACAAGGGGAAAATATATCAATCTCAAAACCAATCATGTCACTGAAATATTTGGCATAAAAGAAGAAAATGTATCGTCTAACTGATGGTTTCACACTCCTGTAAATGCTTGTAGAAATAGCATTAGCAGACAGAATTACTTCTGTTATTTACCATTCAGTCTATGATGGAATCCAACCTTTCAGAATCTCCGGCAGCAGGTTCTCTGATTTTCCTATACTACTGCTGCCTTCAATTCTGTTAGTGCAGATAATGTGATGTATTCAGTTGAGTTGACTCAGGGGTAGTCAGATTTCCTCAATTTTCTACTGGGAATCCACAAACACTCCTTTGGGCACACAACTTTTAAAAACTTGGACATAAAATCCAATGGAAAGACGAATGTTTAAATATTTGCCATGCTGCTAGTCTTTGTATACGTCTTATGTCTGTGAAATAAGGCAATTTCATCAGAAAATCCTCTTTGGTCTTCCTCTCAATAGGGAATACTTTGAAATTCATGTCTGGAGTAAAGTAAAGTAGGCCAATGACATTCTGGCTTCTACAAGAAATAGTGTTGCCAGCAGGAGCAGGGAAGTGATCATCCCTCTCTACTCAGTGCTGGTGAGGCTGCACCTTGAGAACTGTGTTCAGTTTTGGGCCTCTCTCACAAGAAAGACATTGAGGCCCTGGATTGTGTCCAAAGAAGGGCAACAAAGCTGGTAAGGAGTGTGGAGGGGTCTTATGAGGAATGGCTGAGGGAACTAAGATTATGTAGTGTGGAGAAGAGGAGGCTCAGGGGTGTTCTCATCTCTCTCTGCAACTTCCTGAAGGGAGGTTGTAGTGTAGTGGGGGTTGGCCTCTTTTCCCATATAACTTGCTATAGTTTGAGAGGGAATTATTTCAAGCTGCACTAGGGGAGGTTCAGGTTGGATGTCAGGAAATACTTCTTCTTCAAGAGAGTGGTCAGGTGCTGGAATGGACTGCCTAGGGAGGTGGTGGAATCATTGTCCCTGAAGATATTCAAGAAACATTTAGATGTTGTACAGAGGAACGTGGTTTATTAGGAAATATTGGTGATAGGCAGACAGTTGGACTGGATGATTTAGAAGTCTTTTCCAACCTTATGATTTTATGATTCTGTGAAAGTTCCCAGGTCAGTCTCCTGCTCTGTTCTTGATGAACAGCAGTTACGTTTGTGGATACTCACAGTGTTAAAGGGGGATCTGCTGAATTTATGAACAAAGGAGGTTGAAATGTTATGGGATGTAACTTTGTAC